TAGAAAAAATGTTTCCGTGGGAACAAAAAGTGGGAGGTACTCTGTATCAAAAATTAATTGTTCCAGCAAGTCGAGTTATTAGGCTAAAAGGGGATTGCATCATGACCTCTTTTTCTCTTATTCAGGTTATTGCAGCTGATGTTGATGACCACAAGATACCAGTGACTGATGCCCTCAGTTGTGCTGATATATTCCTTGCAACATATGGTAACAAAGTGGATGATGTCGAGGCTGAGAATCTCAGACGTGATCATGCTGATCTGACAAAGCGTTACGAGAAAGTGGCAGATGAAACTGATGAAAGAGACAGTAACCTTGACGATTCAAAGAAGACACTTGACTTGTTCACTCAGAAGGTGTCATCATTTGAGACATGGTTGGTTCCTTCAGAGAGGACAATGAAAAAGTTACAAGATAATGTCCCAAAGGACCCTTCAAAACTGAAAGAACAAGAAAAGACAGCAAAGAAATTTGCTGCTGATGTTGCGGATCACAAAGAGGAACTTGATGACACTAACATGACTGGACAACATTTTATTGATGAGGCAAAGGTATAAAATATTTTTATATCTTTCATATCTGAGGTTACTTTACACTTCAATTCCTTGTGTAGTATATGCATTGTTCCCGAATTTAAATCATTTGTGAGAACTCATTTTTCCACAAAATTTATGTATGACATATTTTAATCCTGTGTGTAAGTAATTCTGATCTTTGACAATTTTGTGATGAATAGTTTTTTCTGACATTTCGTTTTCATAACTTGAATACGTACATAAGTTTGACAGAATACTCAATTCATATTTGTTTACTTATTACAGGAATTCAAAGACACGATCACACAGTTCCGAACAACTGTGCTACCCAGAAAGTTCAACAGAGAATACAAAGAGGAGCCAGAACTAGAAACTGTGATGAATAAAATGACTGAGATTACAACACGATATGAGAAACTGACGGTAGAATCCACCAAATATATTGAGACACTTCATGTTATTATCGTGAAACACACTACATTAGAATCAACAACAGTTGGTGTGAAATCAGTTGTGGATGATAGAGAAAAGGCTGAGGATGATAGAGAAAAGGTGAGAGTATATTGTGTAATTTATTTTTTCTGCAGCTACTTCTTTTAACTCTAAGATAGATGTCAGTATCAAACAACAGGATTTCATAAATTGCAAATCATATCTTCATTTGTCTCATTGCAATCATGTTCAAACTGAATTGTTATAATTTTTGTGTACGCTACATATTGTTCAAACATTTTTTTTACAATTATTGTTTTGTAGAAAATCATTGAGGATGAATTAAAGGAACATAGCTACGATCTCGAGGAGTTACTCAAATGGGTGTCAGCTGTCGAGATAAGCCTTGGATCTGAACAACCATTGAAAGAAGAGCCTGGACAACTCAATAAACAGGTTAAATCAAACAAGGTACGTTGGACAATAATTTAGTTTTATGGGTTTTGGTAGATGTATACAGAATGTTACTGGCTAGAAAAAATGCTTCCATGGAAACAAAAAGTAGGAGCCATTCTGTATAAATAATACCCTTAATTGGTCCTGCAAGTCAAGTTGTTTTTAGGGTATTAAAAAAATGGATTTCACCATGACCTTTATTTTCTTTCACACATGACCTCATTTTTCTCTTATTAAGGTTATTGCAGCTGATGTTGATGACCACAAGAAACCAGTGACTGATGCCCTCAGTGGTGCTGATATATTCCTTGCAACATACGGTGACAAAGTGGATGACGTTGAGGCTGAGAGACTCAGACGTGATCATGCTGATCTGACAAAGCGTTACAAGAAAGTGGCAGATGAAACTGATGACAGAGACAGTAACCTTGACGATTCAAAGAAGACACTAGACTTGTTCACTAAGAAGGTGTCATCATTTGAGACATGGTTGGTTCCTTCAGAGAGGACAATGAAAAAGTTACAAAATAGTGTCGCCAAAGACCTTCCGAAACTGAAAGAACAAGAAAAGAATGCAAAGAAATTTGCTGCTGATGTTGCGGATCACAAAGAGGAACTTGATGACACTAATATGACTGGACAACATTTTATTGATGAGGCAAAGGTATAAAATATTTTTAGTCCCCATTCGGACGCAGTCCGAAAACGGGACTTATGTTTTGATCTCTGTGCGTCCATGCGTGCGTCTGTGTGTGCGTCCGGACCTGTATCTTAGAAATGCCTGGACCAATCACAATCAAACTTCACACATACATCATACATGATAGTATACATATGCACGTCAATTTGTTTCACGATCTGATTCAAGATGGCCGAATGGCGTCCATTTTTGTGCTAAAAATCATCAAAATCAAGCATTTCTCGGCTGTTTACAGATGGATTTTGTTCAAACTTGGTATATACATTAGACATTATGGGACCTTGATGCAAATAATTTTGTTTTTTAGATAAGATTGAAAATGGCCGACTGGCGGCCATTTTGTTTTAATGAATGTGGTTCTTGTGCCATATCTCTGACTTGCTTTCACTGATTATGTTCAAATTTTAAATATTCATTATACATCATGTCATAGATAGACAGATATATTGGTTTGACGATCCTATTCAAAATGGCCAAATGGTGGCCATTTTTGTGCTAAAAAATCATCAAATATCCAGCATTTATGGATGGATTTCGTTCAAACTTGGTACATATGATAGACATTACAGGTTCCTGATGCACATCATTTATTTTTCAGATCGGATTCAAAATGGCTGTCTGGCGGCCATTTTGTTTTAATGATTGGGCTTCTAGAGCCATATCTCTTAAATGCTTTGACTGATTATATTCAAATTTTATATATTCGTTATACATCATATTATATATACATGTATATACATGTATTCAAAATGGCTGATTTTGAATGCTGTTCCAGAGCAATATTTCTCAATATGGACAAGTACTTTTTTGACGATCAGATACAAATGTCAATCATTTTAATGTTAAAAAATCATATTCCTGACATGGTTATATTCCAGCTATATTACTATAAACAAAATTATATATCTTAAATTTGATAACTGACGGGGACTGTGCCATGCATGGCTTGTTAAATCTTTAATATCTGAAGTCACTTTTCACTTCAATTCCCTGTGTAGCATATGCATTGTTCCCGAATTTTAATCATTTGTGAGAACTCATGTTTCCACAAAATTTATATCTGACATATTCTATAAAATTCCTAAATTTTAATCCTGTGTGTAAGTAATTCTGATCTTTGAGATTTTTGTGATGAATAGTTTTTCTGACATTTTGTTTTTCATAACTTGAATACGTACATAAGTTTGACAGAATACTAAATTCCTAATTGCTGTGAATAAAATTGCTGTGAAATATACTGTGTATAGTAGTATAAAAAGACATTTTCTAATACAAGCACATGTAAGCCATACAAGAGTTTTATTGTGGCTAATTAATTATTAATTAATTAATTATACCCTTGTAAAACACTGTTTTTTGGAGTTTCTTCTTTTTTTTATTAGTAATTTATTGTCAAAAATAACTCAAAAAAAAAGTACATGTGTATTAAATAATTTCTAGAGTAGTGCACCTTAGAAGTTACATGTACCCTAATATCGTATATGCACTATCAGAAGTGCACATAAATTGCATGTGTTGTATATGGAATATAAAATATGACTTATTTTCCTTATAGAAACACACTTGTAACGTACCATATAGGTTGCGCTTCTAATAGAGCTAATATGTTGTAATCGCAAATACACACCGTATTCCCTCAATTTTGATCTGTTTCCTTGGCAACAAAATCTTATAAAACAATTTTTCATTTTCTGTTATTTTATTTTCAAGTTTGAATCCTAACTCAGTATAAATATGTAATAACTCACAAGTAACATTGAAAGCTTTCGAAATTTCAAAAATCCTGAAATAAATTTTTGAAAAGCTGTATTGGTGAAAAATATGTTTACAATGCTGTAATATAGACAATGTTTTCAACTGCTGAATATTAATATATTTACAAATAAATCAGTGTTGTATGCTATGTTCAATTTCAATCAATGTGTTTGATTACACCTTTTTTCTGCCAAAAATTGAATTTTAAAGAAAAACCTATAATTGTTTACTTATTCAGAACTTCAAGGAGATGATCGTTGAGTTCCGAACGACTGTGCTACCCAGGCAGTTCAACAGAGAATACGAAGAGGAGCCAGAACTAGAAACTGTGAAACATAAAATGACTGAGATAACAACACGATATAAGAAACTGACGGTAGAATACACCAAACATATTGAAAAACTGATTGTTCTTATCGAGAAGCACACCACATTTGAATCAACAGTTGATGCAGTGTCACCATGGTTACGTAAGACTGAGGATGAAGCCACTAAAGAGAAGAAGAAGCCAGTACCCACAAAGCCGGATTCTGTTCAGAAGAGAGTTGACCAACTGAAGGTGTGCTATTGAAAAGTATTGAATTAGTACACCCCGTTTTTTGTTTTAGACTGTGCCAGTCACTTTATAGATGCTGTTGGTACTTTGAAATAATATTCCATGATATACTTTGTATATGCCTCAGGTTATAAGCAGTACATGTCATTTGTCTAGACTTCTAGATGCCTTAATAATCAGTTCCAGTTTCATCGCAGCTGAAAACTGGGACTCTTACTTTGATCAACATCTTTCCTTTCTTTTGTGCATATTCTGCAGCAGATATCAATCAGACAAAGCATGTTAATGATGAATATTTTTTTTTCATATATATATTCACCTTTTTTATCACAAATTATTGCCAGTTTTGTCAAGAACTAATTCTGTTTTCTGTTTCATTTGGTATTTTTAGGACATGAGCGATGACATTGTTTCTCACAACGGGGATGTTGAGAAAGTTAAAGATACTGGTCGTGAGTTGATTGAAGTTCATCCTCAAGTGATGAAGGATGTTGCTCAGCAAGTCGGTAAGTTGCCTTGACAAACACAGGTGATTTGATTCTCTGATTCCAAGCCTGTTAATTGGTAATCTCCAGTTTGGTATTTTACCATGTTCACATTATCTTACTTCTTACTACCCGAGGAAGTTTCAGCTAAAACAATAAGCATCTGGAAAAGTTTAAGAAGTAAAAATGAACTTATTGAATAAATTAATCTTTCGATCCTCAGGTGATATTGTCACTCGCTATGAAGCATTGAAGATTTCTGCCACCAAGACAACGAACGTGCTACAGACTGCGCTGACAGAGTCGCAGACTACCCATGATGCATTGGAGGCACTCGTCACTTGGACAGACACAGCAGAGATGACACTTGAGTCGCTTGACAGAGATACACCAATTGTGATTGAGAAGAAACCACTCCTGATCATTCACGAACAAGTGGAGGTATGCTTCTGTCCATGTGTCTGTCTGTCTGCATGCACATATATAAGATGTTTATGTACTTAATTTCTTTCAATAATATAAGGAGAATAAGAATGAGCATTGTAATAATATACTTAAATCGCTAACTTCATTTGCCACTTGATTTTTCCTGCCAAATATTGCTTATTTAATATATTTTTCAATAATTTCTTTGATAATATTCAACCTAATAAAATAGTTTCCCTTTGTCTGTAGGCCAAAATTAATGTATGTCTCAAACAATATTTTCGTAAAACATGAAAAAAGTTGGCTTTGTTGTTCATTGAAAACATGAACAATAACTGATTGAACATTTATTTAATCTTTAAAGGTTTTGAAGGCTGATGTTGATAGCCATAAACCGAGCATTAGCTCAGTCTGTAATACAGTGAAGAGGGACCCAAAACAATCTAAGGCTCTGAAACCACAGACAGATGACCTGAACACCAGATATAACAGGCTGTCAAATAGAACGAACTTACTCGGAGATTATGTAAAAGGACGTCTAGACAAGTTAGGCGAATTCTTGGAGAAAGTAGACCAGTTAGAAAACTGGCTTCTTCCAGTGCTGAGAACTCTGGTATCGCAGGAGTTAGCCGAGTTGCCGGCATCGAAGCGGAATAAGAAGTTAGAGGTACGAATAATAATATAATTTCTATAAATTACTTGCTCTAGTGATGAAACATTTTTGTGACGTCACTCTATTCAACATCTGAGGTATGGGATATCACCCGTACTCGCTATTTTCTGAAAAGTACGGCCCGTACTTTTCACCCAACTTGGCTCATTTTGGAACATTTATATATATGTACCACTCGCAAACAACACATTTGACCCCTTGCATATACCGTTTTTACCACTTGCATATGGCATATTTTGCTACTTGCGACTCGCAACTTGGTACTCGCATATGGCATATTTTCTAGGTAGTACATACGTCTACAGTCATACAAATGTTAATTTAATACTTAATTTGCATACTTATCTGTTCCAGGACATTGAAGAAGGTACTGAGAAAAAGCGTCCACTGTATAGAACCATACAGCATCTGGGACAGCAGTTGACTAAAGATCCCAAAGCAAGTGACACCGAAAGAGCATCTGAAGTCTTAAAGAGAGTGACAACGAACTGGGAATCTCTGGAAGATGTTCTCAACAAGAGGTGAAATGATTTCTTTGTATTTTAACGTCTCAGAATGTACACCTTCTAAATTTTGATTAATTCATCGGAGTGTGTTCTGATTTGCATTGTATTTGCTTTGGACTGGAAATGAATTTTTTACTGACCTTGTTTCATGATTTCAACTAGAAATATGCAAATGAGGGAGCTACAGAAGAACCACTCACAGTTCACAGTCTCTGCCCAGGAAGTCACCACATGGCTGGATAAAACAGAAGACAAGGTGGAAAGATTAGAACCAGTTGCATTTGAGGCTCCCATTATCCAGAAACAGATTCTGGATCATAAGGTATACTATAATTCAGTCAATGCCCCTTTTATAATTTTTAAGATTTGTTTATTGTATTTATTAGTTGATAACCAACAATGTTTAGTCATCCGAGATAAAAAAAAAATAACTGAAGTGATTACCCAGAAACATGCATAGTTTGTTTCTTTAAAGCGTGCATTAACAACTGCCTAACCTTGCTGGGATTTTTGGAGATTTGTTGTGAATCCTAGGGAGTTTACGACTTGAACTAATCCCTGGAGCAAACTTTTTTAATGCCACAACAGTTATAATTATATAATATATGGTAATTTTAGTTTTTGTTCACTCCTTTATTTATCTGAATCAAATATCTCATTTATAAAGCAGAATGCTTAGTTACGCCATTTAAAAACAAACACTATAATTGTTCTCATGCTTTCTTTGATCTTTTAATTTTTTCAGCCACTTGCGAGAGAAGTCAAAGAGTACAAACCAAAGATTACTAAGACAACTGATCTTGGGAAAAAGTTGACTGAACCATCTGTAGGGTGGGAAGTGTTACAAAATGAGGTTCCCATCAAGAGAAGCTCAAGCTTTGCTGAACCGACACAAGATGAACGAGAGGAGATCACTGAAGTGCAAATAGTCAGGGAATCACCAACACCTATCAGTGAAGGTAAGACAGTCGCCATAGAAACAGCCTTTGCTTTTTGTGAACCAAGAAAAATTTTAAAATAGTTGCTGAACTTGGCAAAGTTGGATAATGGATATTATATATATTCATGCATATTATGTCATATCAAAATTGAATTCAAGATGGCTGATTGGCAGCCATATTTTGCAAACTGGCTGGCAGGCAACCATTTTTTTGCAACAAAAAAAAACAATGTAAAAACAAATTACTTTTGTTTTTATTTTAGATCAAGCCAATAGAAAAAAAATAACTTGTTATGCGTTGACACAGGAACACACAAAACCTAAAGAAACCAGATAGCTTTCATAGTGCATTTATATTGAAATACCGAAATGCACCACTTTACATATAGACTCAGTTAATAAGCTGAGATAACAGAACGTATGTTTTCTCATACATGAAATAAAGTTTTACTGAAAACCTATTTTTTAGCATACCCTGAGGTAAAGCAGCAAATCGAAGAGATAACAGATCGTTATGAAAAACTGAATCAATGCATTGACGACAGACAGGAAGACATGGAAACCGGATTAGACCAGTCCAGAAACGTCAAAGCCAGACGTGATTCTTTGGAAGATGTCATGGAATGGATTCAGGATATGGAAGAAAAGATAAAACCGGATGAACCAATCCCAGAGGAGCTTGTAGCAGCGACAAAGACACTCAATGATCAGAAGGTACAGTGTTTTTTATTGGCTTTTTATAATTATCCATCAAAATATGAAATATTAGAGAGTATTGTTATAATATTAGCCCAATGGAAAAGCTCTTAGATGGTAGTATGTCTGCTGTCCGTTCGTCAAATTGATCAACTTCTTCTCAAAAGTGACTTGACTGCCTGAATTTTTTTTGTGTCTTTTTTTATTTCACCTTAACTCACTGTTAAAGACTGAAGTAGAAATCATTATTGTGATGTAGCATAACACTCTGCAACATTTATCTTATTTTTGGGGTCGTCATCCGGGCATTTTCACCACTTGTTTTCAATAATTGTCTTTTCCTTGTTCAATTTTGCTCTACTTGGTTAGTAATCATTAATGTTCTTACCATTAAAGGTTTTGAAGGACGTTATCACAGCACGGAAAGTATCTCTCACAGATCAGATCAAAACAACGGAGAAATTCCTCCTGGACAATCGAGATCAACTGACAACAGAACAGCAGAATTCACTGCAGTACCTCTTAGATGACATCACACAAGGTTACGACCACCTGACAGGGTTGTCTGATAATAAAATCCGACAACTACAAGGGATAGTAAGTCAACTTGAACAGGAACTTGGAGAAAAGGTGAATGGCTAACTCACTAATGCTTGCAACCTGCGGTGTTCAAAGCCAAGTGGCTGGCTGCCATTCTTATAGACCCATTCTCATATTTACAGATGAGTATAGAGTGCCCTCAGGGGATGAGTATTGAGTTTCTGCTGTTTTTATGCTAATTTTGGATGTTTGTTCATTGGGTAACTTGTCATGAATATTCACTCTCATCTAGTCTGTGTGGACAGACTTTATATTTACATATTAATGGTGTGATTTGCATACTGCTTGTTATGACCATTTCATGTTGCTAATCATTTACAATGTATGAACATGTTTTACATTTCATGTGACTAATGTTAAACATAGACCTGGTGTAAAATCGTGTATTATGTTCATCTGAATGTTTTAAAAAATTTCAGTAGATTTTTAATGATTTTTTTTTCATCGATACCCTCCAGAAAAAAACAATATTTCATTTTTCCAGCCCAACCTTTTGTGTCATTCTAACATCAAACATTTGTGTATTAAAAAAAAATAATCCTTGTCATACACCAGAAGCATGTTTAGTTATCATAAAATCAAAATTACAAAATTCCCTTTTTTCTTTTTGATCTTGTAATCGGTATTAACAGTGAACTCTGATATAATACTCTGGTCACATGACACAGTATGCTGCCTTTAATGTATAATCTACAATCAAACTTTTGTGAATTTTGTCATTATATCAGAGTAGTTTTTGAAAAAGTCCTTTGTGTAGTTACATGTACTCCCAGTAAAGCATTCAAATGCAATGTCTGCTGAAGTACAAAGTGGGAGCAGAGAGAGAGATAAATATTCTAAAAACACTATTTTGTCATATTAATTGTTATCCAATTGTAATGGTAGCTAATCTGATTCTTGATTCTATAATAGTTGACTAAACTTGTATTAAAAAAATAAAAAAAAGGGAGGATGATGCAAGTCCTATACTTTCAACATTTCAAAGCAAATTGAACTCCGGAACTCACTTCGCCAAATCGCAAATCTTCTTGAAATTATTTTAAAATATTCATTCATCTTGTCAATTTCATTTTGTTGTATTTGCTGTGTTTAATTCGCCTAACTCATTCATTCATTCATTGTATAATTCTTGTGAAAACCAGGCTGCCCTGAAAGACCAGTACAAGATGCAGCAGTACGGTGTACATGAACTTGTGGATTGGGTGAAAGCATTGGAGGAGAGACTGGGATCTCAACAACCAATGAAGGAAGAACCGGAGCAACTCGGTCAGCAAGTGAATGAAGTCAAGGTAGGAAGGCAGGGAGAGTATAGCTCTCTTATGATGTATTAATGATTTGTTGATGGTGTAGGACCAATACAGCATACAAATGTATTTCCTCAATAGACTATTTTGAAGGTAGTGCCATGTTATAAAGCAAAACTGTTTTATAAAGTATTGTTGATATTTTTTGCTATATCTCTTGCAACTATGCTTTGAAAAATACCCATAATTCTTTATGAAAAGGGGAACTATTAGAATACACCTTAAGAAGCATATACTGGACATTTCGATTTTTTTT